ATGAGTACAGACAGACAGATGTTGTATGACCCATGAGTGCAGACAGACAGGTGTTGTATGACCTATGAGTGCAGACAGACAGGTGTTGTGTGACCCATGAGTGCAGACAGACAGGTGTTGTATGACCCATGAGTGCAGACAGACAGGTGTTGTATGCCCCATGAGTGCAGACATACAGGTGTTGTATGCCCCATGAGTGCAGACAGACAGGTGTTGTGTGACCCATGAGTGGAGACAGACAGGTGTTGTATGCCCCATGAGTGCAGACAGACAGGTGTTGTATGACCCATGAGTGCAGACAGACAGGTGTTGTATGCCCCATGAGTGCAGACAGACAGGTGTTGTATGACCCATGAGTGCAGACAGGTGTTGTATGATCCATGAGTGCAGACAGACAGGTGTTGTATGACCCATGAGTGCAGACAGGTGTTGTATGACCCATGAGTGCAGACAGACAGGTGTTGTATGCCCCATGAGTACAGACAGATAGGTGTTGTATGCCCCATGAGTACAGACAGACAGGTGTTGTATGACCTATGAGTGCAGACAGACAGGTGTTGTATGCCCCATGAGTACAGACAGATAGGTGTTGTATGCCCCATGAGTACAGACAGACAGATGTTGTATGACCTATGAGTGCAGACAGACAGGTGTTGTATGCCCCATGAGTACAGACAGACAGGTGTTGTATGCCCCATGAGTACAGACAGACAGGTGTTGTATGCCCCATGAGTACAGACAGACAGATGTTGTATGACCTATGAGTGCAGACAGACAGGTGTTGTATGACCCATGAGTGCAGACAGACAGGTGTTGTGTAACCCATGAGTGCAGACAGACAGGTGTTGTATGACCCATGAGTGCAGACAGACAGGTGTTGTGTGACCCATGAGTGCAGACAGACAGGTGTTGTATGACCCATGAGTGCAGACAGACAGGTGTTGTATGACCCATGAGTGCAGACAGACAGGTGTTGTATGACCCATGAGTGCAGACAGACAGGTGTTGTATGACCCATGAGTGCAGACAGACAGGTGTTGTATGACCCATGAGTGCAGACAGACAGGTGTTGTGTAACCCATGAGTGCAGACAGACAGGTGTTGTATGACCCATGAGTGCAGACAGACAGGTGTTGTGTGACCCATGAGTGCAGACAGACAGGTGTTGTATGACCCATGAGTGCAGACAGACAGGTGTTGTATGACCAAGAGTGCAGACAGACAGGTGTTGTATGACCCATGAGTGCAGACAGACAGGTGTAATATGACCCCATGAATACAAACAGGTGTCGAATGATAGGCGTGAGTGAAGGTGTCACGTATGAAGCCTCCGACCAAGTTAACGACCCTCGGGTCGTACCAACGACCAGCTGTCGACCTGTGGAACTACTGGCTACTAATGCCTCACAATAATTAAGGGTTGTTAACGTTGTAGTTCTTAGAGTGATGTGGGTCAGTGACTTCTGGGTGTATGCTCTGCAGTATTCACTCAAGGGGGGGAGGGGGGGGGGTTATATCCTAATTGTATATGCCAGGAGACATATATTTGTGGACTGGTAATTCAGTAAGATTATATTGCTGGTTTAGTGACTAACAAGTAATCATTTGACATTATTCTGGCTAGTTCATGAGGCTGGAGACTTAATCTTGCTTTTGAGAGAGTGCTTGTATGCTTTAAGTAATTCTCTGTGTGGTTTGTATGTGGTCAAACTCTTGTATATTATTGTATTGATTGTGTAGCATTGTGACTTGATTGCTGAGGATTGTGCCTTGATTCCTGAGGATCGTGACTTGATTCCTGAGGATTGTGCCTTGATTCCTGAGGATTGTGACTTAATTCCTGAGAATTGTGACTTAATTCCTGAGGATTGTGACTTGATTCCTGAGGATTGTGACTTAATTCCTGAGGATTGTGACTTAATTCCTGAGGATTGTGACTTGATTCCTGAGGATTGTGACTTAATTCCTGAGGATTGTGACTTAATTCCTGAGGATTGTGACTTAATTCCTGAGGATTGTGCCTTGATTCCTGAGAATTGTGACTTGATTCCTGAGGATTGTGACTTAATTCCTGAGGATTGTGACTTGATTGTGAAGTTGAGAGAGTACGTTTGTGTGTTGATTTTTTCTCTCTGTGTATTGATACCAGAGTGCCTGGGTTGGATATATCCAAGGATCATCTTGAGGTTATCTTGAGTTGATTTCGGGGCTTAGCGTCTCCGCGGCCCGGTCCTCGACCAGGCCTCCTTTTTGTAACACACCCCCATAGGAAGCAGCCCGTAGCAGCTGTCTAACTCCCAGATACCTATTTACTGCTAGGTAACAGGGGCAGCAGAAGGAAAGAAACTCTGCTCATTTCTTTCCGCCTCCACCGGGGATCGAACCCGGAACCTCAGGACTATGAATCCGAAGCGCTGTCCACTCAGCTGTCAGGCTCCTGCATACTCCAGGGGCTTTTGGTCTTTCTGACATCATTTTGTAGTAGGCTAATAATTTTGACCTTTTGACTTAGACAACAATGCTTGGAGAAAGAGCTTTAAGAAGGGTGGTTAATTTTGTAAATAAAGAATGATAAGATCAAATCTCATATTCCCCAGAGTAAGAACAGATACAGCGGTACAGTCATCTTGTAGTTACTTGGATATGTAACACTAATATGTACTTTGTCTTGTTTGAAACGGAGGGACAACTCACATAATATGTACTTATATGTAACTTTTGTATAGTATTATGTATTTTTTGGGTTTACAACTCTCCTCTAAGACAGAAATAATTACCACTATTTTTAGAAAACTTTACATTGTGAATATTTGATTGAAGTTTACTTTTGTAATATTTTAGAGAGAGTTTTATTATCCCATTTATATTTTACTTTTATTTGGATAATATATTTTTAATTAGATATTTTATTTTATTTCTTTCCCCTCTTTCATTACAGCTCTCCCCTCACCCCTCCCCCTTCCCCCTCACTCCCCCTCACCCCTACCTCTCCCTCACCCCTCACCCCTCGCTCTCCCTCACCCCTCTCTCCCCTCTCACCCCTCCCTCCCCCTCACTTCCACATCCCTCGCTCCCCCTCCCGCCTCGCTCCCCCTCACCCCTAGCTTCCCTCACCCCTTACCCCTCACCCCTCCCCTCTCACCACTCTTCCATTCGTTTGCTAAAACTCTGAGAATAAATAATTCCCAGCAACATTTGTACCTCAGCCCTCCCTTCCGCTCTCTTTTTTTGTCTCCCTTCCCCTTCCTCCTCCCCTTTCTTTCATTCTCCCCTTCCTCCTTTCCTCTTTATTCTACTCTTCTTACTCCTCTCTTTATTCCCCTCTTTCCTTCTTTTTCCCCTCTTCTATTCCCGGAGGTTCAGTCGGATTCGTTCTCGACGCTCAATGGCGAATTCCGGGTTCGAATCCCAGGCGGAAACATAAACGGTTGGGCACATTTCCTTTCACCTAATGCCTCTGTTCACCTAGCAGTGAGTATAGGTACCCCAGGAGTTAGTCAGCTTGTTGTGGGGTTGCATCCTTGGACCTGGATATAGGCCTAACGTGTATGAATACACCCTGGCTTCCTGTCCCCCCGACATAGTGCATTATAAATGATTATATACCTGTCATTTTTCCCCTTTGATGGTGGACAGGATAGAGGTCAGGGGGACAGGACAGAGGTCAGGGGGACAGGGCAGAGGTCTGGTGGACAGAACAGAGGTCTGGTGGACAGAACAGAGGTCTGGTGGACAGGACAGAGGTCAGCTGGACAGAACAGAGGTCAAGGGGACAGGACAGAGGTCAGGGGGACAGGACAGAGGTCTGGTGGACAGGACAGAGGTCTAGTGGACAGAACAGAGGTCTGGTGGACAGAACAGAGGTCAGGTGGACAGGACAGAGGCCTCGTGGACAGGACAGAAGTCTAGTGGACAGGACAGAGATCAGGTGGACAGGACAGAAGTCAGGTAGATAGGACAGAGGTCAGGGGGACAGGGCAGAGGTCTGGTGGACAGGACAGAGGTCTGGTGGACAGGACAGAGGTCAGCTGGACAGAACAGAGGTCAGGGGGACAGGACAGAGGTCAGGGGGACAGGGCAGAGGTCTGGTGGACAGGACAGAGGTCAGGTGGACAGGACAGAGGTCTGGTGGACAGGACAGAGGTCAGCTGGACAGGACAGAGGTCAGCTGGACAGAACAGAGGTCTGGTGGACAGGACAGAGGTCTAGTTGACAGAACAGAGGTCAGGTCAACAGGACAGAGGTCTAGTGGACAGGACAGAGATCAGGTGGACAGGACAGAGGTCAGGTGGACAGGACAGAGGCCTCGTGGACAGGACAGAGGTCAGGTGGACAGGACAGAGGTCAGGTGGACAGGACAGAGGCCTCGTGGACAGGACAGAGGTCAGGTGGACAGGACAGAGGCCTCGTGGACAGGACAGAAGTCAGGTAGATAGGACAGAGGTCAGGTGGACAGGACAGAGGTCAGGTGGACAGGACAGAGGTCAGGGGGACAGGACAGAGGTCAGGTGGACAGGACAGAGGCCAGGTGGACAGGACAGAGGTCAGGTGGACAGGGCAGAGGTCAGGGGGACAGGACAGAGGTCAGGTGGACAGGACAGAGGTCAGGTGGACAGGACAGAGGCCTCGTGGACAGGACAGAAGTCAGGTAGATAGGACAGAGGTCAGGTGGACAGGACAGAGGTCAGGGGGACAGGACAGAGGTCAGGTGGACAGGACAGAGGTCAGGGGGACAGGACAGAGGTCAGGTGGACAGGACAGAGGTCAGGTGGACAGGACAGAGGTCAGGGGGACAGGACAGAGGTCAGGTGGACAGGACAGAGGTCAGGTGGACAGGACAGAGGTCAGGTGGATAGGACAGAGGTCAGGGGGACAGGACAGAGGCCTCGTGGACAAGACACAGATCATTCTGTCCACTTTACTATTAACTCAAGTCAAAGATAACTGTCTACAGAATCTGACGAGGACAAGACTGAGAATGATTTTTGTTACGTTGACAGTCACGACACCCGGGCCCCGCCGGAGCTGGAGGGTGAGGTGCGGCCGGGCGAGGGGGTGCTGACGGTGAACCGGGGGGCGGCCACCCTCACCTACCACAACCTCACCCCGGACCACGCCGGACTCTACGAGTGCCGGGTCGACTTCTACAACTCCCCCGCCCATTCTACCTTCGTCAACCTGACTGTTGTAGGTGAGTACCTACTCGTCTCTTGTCATGTTGTAGGTGAGTAGCCACTCTTATGTTGTAGGTGAGTAGTCACTCTCATGTTGTAGGTGAGTACCTACTCGTCTCTTGTCATGTTGTAGGTGAGTAGCCACTCTTATGTTGTAGGTGAGTAGTCACTCTTATGTTGTAGGTGAGTACCTACTCGTCTCTTGTCATGTTGTAGGTGAGTAGCCACTCTTATGTTGGAAGTGAGTAGCCACTCTCATGTTGTAGGTGAGTAGTCACTCTTATGTTGTAGGTGAGTAGCCACTCTCATGTTGTAGGTGAGTAGCCACTCTAATGTTGTAGGTGAGTTCCCACTCGTCTCTTCTCATGTTGTAGGTGAGTACCCACACTCATGTGGCGACTCATCGCATGGTGTTGTAGTTGAGTATACTACCTCTCGTCCTCTCTCTCATGTTTTGACTCACGAGGATATACTGAACTGCAAAATTTAAGCGCAGGCCGCTCACAACCAATGGGCCCGAGTTCCATTCTCGGGCGAGGAGATATGTTTAGACAGGCAGGTTTGCTTGCTTACACCTTGGCGTCGACGGGTACCTGGAAGGTGTAGGTAACTGTTGTGGGTAGCATTCTGTGTAAGGTCAGTATTGGCGGCTTAGCGGACCTCGATAAGCCTAACGTGGCTTTCCTGTCCCCCAGGAAAGGAAGGGTGGACAGTAATGTTATATTGTCTTAGAAGGAACAGATCACTCACCCTGTCCATGGAGGACAGAAGAAAATGTAAATATGCTGGTTAGCACTGTAAATGTGTGGCCACGTCTGTGGTAGAGAATAAAACAAAAATTAATAAATAAATAGATAAAGCCAAACGTGTAAAGCCAAATTAAAGTGATATGTCCCGTTTTCTTTTCCTGGGTCCTAGGTTAGGTTAGGTTAGGTTCGGGTTATTTAGTTTAGCGAGCTTGGGGAGGGGACGGGGGGGGGGGGAGGAGGGGTTCCTTGTACAGATTGTTCTTGACATGCTTACAACAACAGCCTGGCCGCTCTCCTGTAGGCGAGACAGTTCGCTGTTAAGACACGCAAGAAATGGTATAATTAGCTCAGCGTCTCCAGGAAGACCAGGCTGTTGGTGCTGGCGGTGTCACTCTCAACATTTGTGTTGTTTGTGATGAGTTGTGTTGCTGGGTGTTGGTGAGCCAGATGCTCCGTGATAAGCGGAGAGCAGTGTGTGTGTGTGTGTGTGTGTGTGTGTGTGTGTGTGTGTGTGTGTGTGTGTGTGTGTGTGTGTGTGTGTGTGTGTGTGTGTGTGTGTGTGTGTGTGTACTCACCTAGTTGTGTTTGCGGGGGTTGAGCTCTGGCTCTTTGGTGAAGCATGTGTGTGTGTGTGTGTGTGTGTGTGTGATCACCCTCAAGTGGTGGGTCGTTAAGGTGAACCTTTTTGGCTCATTTAACGTTAACAGCCTCGTTAGTGGTAGACATGAGGCTAGTTAGCGAAGGGGGGAGGGTGGGGGGCACATTCTCTCTCAACCTGACACTCTCCTCATACTACCTGTCCCTCATACTGATCATTCTAACTCATACTGGTCATGCTTCCTCACCCTAGGCCCCTCCCTCACACTAGCCCCCTCCCTCCCTCACCCTAGGCCCTTCCCCTCTGACTAGCCCCTCCATCACACTAGCCCCCTAGCCCCTCCCTCACCCTAGCACGTCCCTCACACTAGCCCCTCCCTCACGCTAACCCCTCCCTCACCCTAACCCCTCCCTCACACTTGCCCCTCCCTCACCCTAGCCCTCCCCCCCTACCATACAATATCTCCCCTAACAAAACACACAAGTACTGACGAATCTGTAGGTAATTAAAGTCATAAATCACACTATTCTAATGTCACGATATGGAACTCTGAACAATAATTTGGGTTCCATTATTTCAGCTGTAATAAAAAGCATTTCGAGTGTCAGTTGGGAAGGTGGGTCATTAGGGGTGGTAATTCCCGCACCGTGCCAATGGCCTGCCGCTGTTTACCCCATTGTTGTAATCTCATTTTTTGCCTTCGTCATCAAATTTGTGAGCCAACTTTGATCTGGAATCCAGGAGAGCTCTTCATAGTCCTCGGCATCATGGAAGACACGTCCTGGAATCCAGGAGAGAGGTCCTCATAGTCTTCGGCATCCTGGAACACCCAATCTGGAATCCAGGAGAGGTCTTCATAGTCTTCGGCATCCTGGAACACTCAATCTGGAATCCAGGAGAGCTCTTCATAGTCTTCGGCGTCCTGGAACACCCAATCTGGAATCCAGGAGAGCTCTTCACAGTCTTCGGCGTCCTGGAACACCCAATCTGGAATCCAGGAGAGCTCTTCACAGTCTTCGGCGTCCTGGAACACCCAATCTGGAATCCAGGAGAGGTCTTCACAGTCTTCGGCGTCCTGGAACACCCAATCTGGAATCCAGGAGAGCTCTTCACTGTCTTCGGCGTCCTGGAACACCCAATCTGGAATCCAGGAGAGGTCTTCACAGTCTTCGGCGTCCTGGAACACCCAATCTGGAATCCAGGAGAGGTCTTCACAGTCTTCGGCGTCCTGGAACACTCAATCTGGAATCCAGGAGAGGTCTTCATAGTCTTCGGCATCCTGGAACACTCAATCTGGAAGCCAGGAGAGGTCTTCATAGTCTTCGGCGTCCTGGAACACTCAATCTGGAATCCAGGAGAGGTCTTCATAGTCTTCGGCATCCTGGAACACTCAATCTGGAAGCCAGGAGAGGTCTTCATAGTCTTCGGCGTCCTGGAACACTCAATCTGGAATCCAGGAGAGGTCTTCATAGTCTTCGGCATCCTGGAACACTCAATCTGGAAGCCAGGAGAGGTCTTCATAGTCTTCGGCATCCTGGAACACTCAATCTGGAAGCCAGGAGAGGTCTTCATAGTCTTCGGCGTCCTGGAACACTCAATCTGGAAGCCAGGAGAGGTCTTCATAGTCTTCGGCGTCCTGGAACACTCAATCTGGAATCCAGGAGAGGTCTTCATAGTCTTCGGCATCCTGGAACACTCAATCTGGAATCCAGGAGAGGTCTTCATAGTCTTCGGCATCCTGGAACACTCAATCTGGAAGCCAGGAGAGGTCTTCATAGTCTTCGGCATCCTGGAACACTCAATCTGGAAGCCAGGAGAGCTCTTCATAGTGTTCGGCATCCTGGAAGACACGTCCTGGAATCGAGGAGAAAAAGATTGGGGGATGGATTCGTGGTTGTGTTGTCTGGCTCTCCCTGACCGGGGACTACAGGCGACTCTGACAGTCAATTAAAACTTAATAATACCAGTCATTATCAACAATGAAGCGAGAGGACTATTAGTGAAAGTGATCAGCTTTGAATATTAGAGAAAGTGGTCAGTGATGAGAATACTGAAAGTGATCAACGATTAGCACTACTGAAAGTGATCTCTCTCTGCGAATACATCTGATGTGTGTGTGTGTGTGTGTTTAGCAGTTTTAGAAGAGAGAGGCTTCTTCCAGTGCAGACGGAGGCAGGCACTTGCGAGGGCGGTGGCAGACGGCGCCAGCAACATCTTCACTCGAGCAGTTAGTATTCAGAAAGAGTTTGATAATGCGCGTTAATCAGGGAAGGCCTGAGCCCTCGTTGGGATAAGAGATACCTTCACGGCTTTGAACCTCGGCCAGAGGACCTACAGCCCTTCAGGTCTCAGGCAGGTCAACTCCTTTGAGGTCCCTGGGAACCACTTTTGCCTTCTCTCAGTTAAATAAATTGGATGACTAATTGGAGGAAATAAGAGGCATTCGTTCCCCTTTTTTGTAGAGTTTTTGTGCAGCTGTCAGTTCACAGAGTGACGATGTCGACGCTAATGTTGAATCAGACAAGTAGCAGTTTCTTATACCTGCGGTTTGACTTTAAACTGAGTCAGTATTTCAAGCTCAGAGACGTGTTCTTCAAGCTCAGAGACGTGTTCACTGTTGAGAAGAACCTGCTAGTTTGTAGCCTGTTTATCCAGTCCAAGTCCGTAATTAGACGGCATCATAGGATTTTCATTCGCTTCTGACTATAGGTATATATAACTGGATTTTGTTTTTTGTAGAACATGATCTTTCCATTAATGCATTAATGTGCAGGCGATGAGTCACAATAACGTGGCTGAAGTATGTTGACCAGACCACACACTAGAAGGTGAAGGGACGACGACGACGTTTCGGTCCGTCCTGGACCATTCTCAAGTCGATGGTCCAATGGCTGGACCAGAACCCATTGAAGGTTCTGTATTTGGTTTGCAGTGAGACCCGAGCCAGGTATGGGACGCACAACACCGTCCACCTCAGCCTCTAGAGTAACCTCTATTGTCTTCACTGACGCCGGAGGAAAGAGGTTGAGGTCTTACCAACAGACACACTTGAGTTTCGAAAAAGACTCAACTACAGCACCGTTAAAAAAGCGACGTATTAACAAACAGTCAAGCATGGTAATATTAAGGTTTTCTGTGCATTGGCCTCGATAGGTTAGGGGGGTTGCTTGGGTTCATACGTTCTGGTTAAGCATAATAGTTGCATTTTGTACTTAGTGGAGGTGAGGGGGGGGGGGGAGGCGGGGGGGGGGGGGAATAGCCAGCGAGCACTCATGGAGCAGGTCTCCCCTTGTGCCACTCCGTAGGAAATTGCAACGGTTTTGCTTAACCCGAGACGTACGAACCCAAGCGACCCACCTAACCCGTCGTGGCCATCACATGAGAAACGTCAATATTTGGATGCTTTTAAGTGTTTCTAAAACGTTTTACATTGTTAAGAGATTGATCGATTAGGTGACAGAGTGAATATCAGTAACATGCCCCGTCCCCTCCCCTGCCCTCCCTCACCTGCTATCCCTCCCCTGCCATCCCTTCCCTTGCCTCCCTCCCTCCCTCCCTCCCCCCCTTCCCTCCCTCCCCTCCTCCCCGTGTGATGGTCACCTAACCCGTCCTCTCAAAAATAACGTCGCTTTTCGCTGGTATGCGCGCTATATATGGCCAAAAACTGACG